TACTGGTCACAAATCAGGTCTCAGCTAATACCAAAAGACTGGGATTATTCCCTGCATGATATCAGACCACAATGCCTTGAAACTGGAACTCAATCACAAGAAAAAAATTGGAAGGAATTAAAACACTTGGAAGTTAAAGATCATCCTGCTAAAGAATGAATGGGTCAACCAGAAAATTAAAGAAGAACTTAAACAATTAATGGAAACCAATGAGAATGAAAACACATCAGTCCAAAACTTTTGGGATACTGCAAAGTCAGTCCTAAGGGGGAAATACATAGCCGTCCAAGCCTCTCTCAAAAAATTAGAAAACTCCCTAATGTACAAGCTAACCCTACACCTAAAGGAGCTGGAGAAAGAACAGCAAATAAAACCTAAACCAAGCAGAGAAGAGAAATATTAAAAATTGGAGCAGAGATCAATGAAATAGAAACCAGAAAAACAGTTGAACAGATCAATGAAACTAGAAGCTAATTCTTTGAAAGAATTAATAAGATTGATAAACCACTGGCCAAACTTATCCAAAAGAAATGAGAAAGGACCCAAATTAATAAAATTATGAATGAGAGGGGAGAGATCACGACTAACACCAAGGAAATAGAAATAATTATTAGAAATTATTACCAGCAACTGTATGCCAACAAATTAAGCAACCTGGAAGAAATGGATGCCTTCCTGGAAACTTACAAACTACCAAGACTGAAACAGGAAGAAATAGACAATCTGAATAGACCAATAACCAGTAACAAAATTGAAGCAGTAATCAAAAACCTCCCAAAAAACAAAAGTCCAGGGCCAGATGGCTTCCCAGGGTAATTCTACCAAACATTTAAAGAAGAAATAATACCTCTTCTCCTGAAGCTGTTCCAAAAAATAAAAACAGAAAGGAAACTTACAAACTTCTTCTATGAGGCCCGCATTACTCTGATCCCAAAACCAGGCAAAGACCCCATCGAAAAGGAGAATTAAAAACCAATATCCCTGATGAACATGGATGCCAAAATACTCAACAAGATTCTAGCTAATAGGCTCCAACAGTACATTAAAAGGATTATTCACCACGACCAAGTGGGTTTTATGCCTGGATGCAAGGGTGGTCCAACATTTGCAAATTAATCAACTTGGTAAAGCACATCAATAAAAGACAAGAACCATATGATCCTCTCAATTGATACAGAAAAAGCATTTGATAAAATGCAACATCCATTCCTGATTAAAACTCTCCAGAGTATAGGGATAGAGGGAACATTCCTCAATATCATAAAAACCATCTTTGAAAAGCCCACAGCGAATATCATTATCAATGGAGAAAAGCTAAAAGCTTTTCCCTTAAGATCAGGAACACGACAGGGATGCCCACTCTCACCACTACTGTTCAACATAGTACCAGAAGTCCTAGCCTCAGCAATCAGACAAAAAAAAAAAGAAAAAGAAATAAAAGGCATCCAAACTGGCAAAGAAGAAGTCAAACTCTCCCTCCTCACAGATGACATGATACTTTATGTGGAAAACCCCAAAGATTCCACCCCCAAATTACTAGAACTCATACAGCAATTCAGCAGTGTGGCAGGATACAAAATCAATGCACAGAAATCAGTTGCCTTTCTATACACTAACAATGTAACTGTAGAAAGAGAAATTAAGGAATCAATTCCATCCACAATAGCAACAAAACCCATAAAATACCTAGGAATAAAACTAACTAAAGAGATAAAGGATCTATACTCCAGAAACCACAGAACACCTATGAAAGAAATTGAGGAAGACACAAAAAGATGGAAAAATATTCCATGCTCATGGATTGGAAGAATAAACATTGTTAAAATATCTATCTTCCCCAGAGCAATTTACACTTTCAGTGCCATCCCTATTAAAATACCACTGGCATTTTTCAAAGAGCTGGAACAAAAAATCCTAAAATCTGTATGGAACCAGAAAAAGACCCCTAATTGCCAACAGAATGATGAAAAAGAAAAACAAAGCCAGGGGCATCAAGTTGCCTGACTTTAAGCTATATTACAAAGCTGTGATCACCAAGGCAGCATGGTTGGCACAAAAACAGACACATAGACCAATGGAACAGAATAGAGACTCCAGAAATGGACCCTAAACCCTATGGTCAACTAATCTTTGACAAATCAGGAAAAAATATCCAATGGAAAAAAGATGGTCTCTTCAATAAGTGGTGCTGGGAAAATTGGACAGCTACATATAGAAGAATGAAACTGGACCATTCCCTTACACCATACACAAAGACAAACTCAAAATGGATGAAAGACCTCAATGTGAGACAGGAATCCATCAAAATCCTGGAGGAGAACATAGGCAGTTACCTCTTCGACATCTGCCACAGTAACTTCTTTCAAGACACGTCTCCAAAGGCAAGTGAAACAAAAGCAAAAATGAACTTTTGGGACTTCATCAAGATAAAAAGCTTCTGCACAGCAAAGGAAACAGTCAACAAACCTAAGAGGCAACCCACAGAATGGGGGGAAGATATTTGCAAATGACAATACAGATAAAGGGCTGATATCCAAGATCTATAAAGAACTTATCAAACTCAACACTCAAAAAACAAATAATCCAGTCAAAAAATAGGCAGAAGACATGAACAGACACTTCCCAAAGAAGACATACAAATGGCTAACAGACACATGAAAAAATGCTCAACATCACTAGCCATCAGGGAAATACAAATCAAAACCACAGTGAGACACCACCTTACACCAGTTAGAATGACAAAAATTAACAAAACAGGAAACAAGTGTTGACGAGGATGTGGAGAAAGGGGAACCCTCTTACACTGTTGGTGGGAATGCAAGCTTGTACAGTCACTCTGGAAAACCGTATGGAGGTTCCTCAAGATGTTAAAAATAGAGCTACCCTATGACCCAGCAATTGCACTACTAGGTATTTTCCCCAAAGATACAGACGTAGTGAAAAGAAAGGGCACGTGCACCCCAATGTTCAAAGCAGCAGTGTCCACAATAGCCAAACTGTGGAAGGAGCCGAGATGCCTTTCAACAGATGAATGGATAAAGAAGATGTGGTACACATACAAAATGGAATATTGTTCAACCATCAGAAACGATGAATACCCACCATTTGCATCCACAGGGATGGAACTGGAGGGGATTATGTTAAGTGAAGTAAGTCAAACAGAGAAAGACAATTATCATATGGTCTCACTCATATGTGGAACATAAGCAAAAGCACGGAGGACCATAGGGCAAGGGAGGGAAATCCAAAGGGGGAGAAATCAGAGAGGGAGATGAATCATGAGAGACTATGGATCCTGAGAAACAATCTGGGGGTTTCAGAGAGGGGGTAACAGGGTGATGGGTATTGAGGTGGGCACGTGCTGTGATGAGCACTGGGTGTTATACTTAACTAATGAATCACTGAACACTACATCAAAAACTACATACCATACAGTGGCTAACTGAACATAATAAAAAAAAATTAAAAAAAAATGTAGACTAGGTTTGGTAACATTGTTTGCCAATTTCAGCAAAGATGTTGCTGTTTGCCTTCTCCTGTAAAGTGTACATACCTGTAGAAACACAAAGTAACTTGAGCACATTGAAATTTTCTTCCTGGCTGTGAGTAGTGTGTGTGTGTGTGTGTGTGTGTAAGCGTGTGTGTAAACTAGGTTTCATACATAATTGGAAAGGCAATAGTATGGGAACACTAGATAAATTGAAGCAGGAGACAGAGAATGAAGGAGGCTACCTATAGCCTTCTCCATTTCAAAATTTCCCCTATGTTCACCCTTCTCATAAGTCAAGCCATTATACAAGTTAGAAACAAAGAGCATCATAAATATCTTAAAAATGCACTAACAACAACTCCATATGGGTTTTCAAGGGAAACAGTGGTGGTTTGGGAGCTTTTTTTTTTTCTTTTGACATTTGAGGTCAGCATCAAGTACAACCACGAGTCCCCATAACAATTCTTCAGTGTCCTACTAAGTGACAGGATTCTGATAAGGGCAGCACCCAACTGACTCAGTGTAGCAAGTATCATACTTTTGACTCATATGCATGGCCTCTTGCTTTTACGATGCCATCTGCAGAGAAATCAATCATCATAAAGTTGACTGAGTGTGTCCTATATTCATCTGCTTGACTGTGTTTGATGTAAATGACTGACAACAATAAAAGAGAACTAGAGGAAAGAGGCATCAGTACTGTCAAGTGGGTGTCATGTGACCCACGGCTTCCAAAGGATGGTCAGGATATAGATGGCCTGAGAGGAAAGAAGCCATCCAAGGAGAACAGAAACAGAAAGCACAGAAAGAGCATGACAGCAGGGCCTCTGTGTCTGTGTGGGGAGGGTGTGGCATGTGTAAGAAGAGAAGAGAGGAGGGGTATTTTGCACAGGTAAAAGGTTAGTTTGATTGAAATAGATAGTTCAGTTGTTAACTAATAGGAGATGATTTTAAAACTGTAGACTTCACTGAAGTTATTGGATACTGTAATTTGGGTTTATTTTCATATCACATTTGACATCTCAGCACAGTAGCACTTGTAGCCCACTGAGAAAAAACTAATTATCTTGAAGTGAGAATTCTGTATAGTCTGTGGCTTTCATGTTTTTTCCTCCTCTCTTTACCAGAATATGAACCTAATAGAAGATCAGTGTCCAGTCAGACCAAGACACTCTATAGAGAGCAAAATCCTGAGGTGTTTTTAAACTATTGTATAAAGAAAATGTAGAAAATACCTGAAACCGTATCTGCTAAGACAGCCAAGTACATGTTCCTCTAAATATTTATAAACCATGAACTACAACATCCACACATTTTTTTTTTATTAGTAAAGAACAAATGGAAATCATTGGCCAGAGTTTTTCTGATGGTCTGATTGGATGTGTTGCCTTTCATCTCCTTCTTGACTCAAGATTCTTATTACCCCTCAAATAGTTCTTAACATTTTCTTGTTAATTCCTCCAATTGCTTTTGAAGTTTTAGCTCAGCTTTTCCAACTTGAGTGCTCCTGTGTATATGATCTTGCTGTTGGGTAGCAGTCTTCTGAAATGCGAGAAAGTGTTTCTTTAAACTTCTCTTGGATGATTTTGTGAATAGATTCAATCTAAACAGAAAAAAAAATAAAAGCCTATATGCCACTTATCCATGTTGATTTATATATTTATTTTTAATTTTATTTATTTTTTAAAAGATTTTATTATTTATTTATCTGAAACAGTGAGCAAGAGAGAGAGAGAGCACAAGCTGGGAGGAGAAGCAGAGGGAGAGGGAAAAACAGAGTCCCTGCTGAGCATGGAGCCCAACATGGGACTGGATTCCAGGACCCTTGGATCATGACCTGAGCTGAAGGCAGATGCTTAACCTACTGAGCCACCCGGGTGCCCCTATGTTGATTTCTTTTTTTTTAATTTCTTACCTTTGAATTATCCCAATGTTAGAAACTTGGATACTTTAAACTTTGCCTTGCAGTAGATGCTCCCGGCATAGTACTTAATTAGTGTAGGATGGCAGAATATGCCAGAGCAATATATGCCACTTTGGCATAAGGATTATTTTGAGCTGAAGGCAACTGAGAAGAAGCAGATGCAAGAAAAGTCTACCCCTCCACCAAACAGGTATTTGTCTAAAATCAGGACATAAATTTACAAAGGTGTCCCTCCTCCCCCCTCTCTACCAGGAAGGACAAAAGTTAATCAGTGGAGACAACTTTAAAGATTTATTTATTTATTTTAGAGAGAGAGAGAAAGCGTGAGCAGGAGAGGCAGGGGGAGGCAGGGAGAGAGTCATAAGCAGACTCCATGCTGAGCACAGAGCTTGATGCAGGGTTTTATCTCCTGACCCTGAGGTCACAACTCTGATCAAGACCCTGAGCCGAAACCAAGAGTTGGACCCTGAACCAACTGTGCCACCCAGATACCCCTAGTGGAGACGAGTTTCGACTCTATCAGCCTGGAGACAGCAACCAAGGAATCTACAGAACAAGCTTTACTAACTAGCCTGATCTATCATTAGTTTCCCATATGTTTCCCTTTCCACAATTGGCTGCCCCTCGAGACTTAAGGTTCTTTTCTTTGGTCTTGTCACTTTTCTAAAAACGTATTATTCCTCACTGGGTGTTATATGCAAACAATGAATCAAAAACTAATGATGTACTGTATGGTGACTAACATAATAAAATTAAATTAAATTAAAAAGAAATGTATTATTCCTTTGTTAAGATACTACATAAACCCAATTCTAAATCTTTGAGTTACCCATCTCTGGTACTCCCAATTGCCACATGGACTTCTGAACCTTTTTAATAGACTTCGGTTTCTTTTTCTCTTATTAATCTGTCTTTGGCAAGTCTAATTTATGAGCCTTCAGCAGGAAAACCTAAGGTTGGTAGAGGAAGAGATTTTTCCTCCCCTACATCATTTAGTTCCCAAATCCTGTGGATCACTCAGCAAATCTTTACGGCTATGTAATTTCATTCCATGCCTAGACATAATATTCAGTATAAGAACCTTGAGTGCCAGCTATATAATGCTGAGAAAATCCTTTGTGCATCCAGCCTCCCCATATGGTATAGCTCTAAAGATGGATAGCAGCAACAAACCCAGTGAGCCCCTGTGCAGGGACTGAAATGGGAATGACAGATAGCATGACAAATAGAAGAAACAGTCAATTAATCAGTCAACTTTGATGCATGGTGCTCCTACTAGGGTCCATGCCAGGCATTAAGGAGGGGATGACATAGGCCTTGCCTTAAAAGGTCTGACTTGGAGATCAAATATTTATTCCTGTATTTTAAAATATTTATCTCAATATTCAAAAATTCCCACATTTATTAAATTCTTAATTTTTAAGAGCAAATGGTGACATTAAAAAGAGTTAAATACAAATGTTTTGTGGATTCATTAGGACTGACATGTTTAAGGAAAAAGGTTTTTTTGGTAGGACTTCTGTAGCAAGATTCCAAAACAAACATGAAAGGTATTGTATGAAGCAGGAACCAAGGTAGCAGAGAAGCTGAAGACCGACTAAAGGTGGCATATTCTGGAAACAGTGAGGAGATTTCACTTTAGAGAAGCTATCACCAAGACAGAGCCTGAAGTAACAGAAGACCATCTGTTCAGCCATTGGAAATGCCGTGATTTACTCAGCATTCGGGCCACAATTCAAGGGACAAAGAACAAAACGTGTTGAAAAAAAGTTCAGGAATTAAAACATCTTTAAAATCATGTTTCTTATGGATGGTCTGTTGACATTCTGTACATAATAGGTGTCCAAAGAATGCCAGAGAATTATTGTCTGGTCAGAATAAAATATGGCTCTTTAAAAGCTAAATTAAGGCTTTAACTCCTGAATATGTTCTGACTTTGGAGATTTAGAATGATCAATTTCTATCACTGGTAGAGAGCCATACTCTGAATATTGAGTTTAAGATCTATCATTTGCTTGAGCTATATTATAGTAGTTTAATTTTTAAAACAACACTGCTGAAATCGTTTTCATACAGGAGCTAGATAATAGATTGTAATACAGACTAGAAGAAAATGCAGTACATTTCTTCAGGGTACAAAGCAGGTGCAGTTATGTCTCTGCATGTACATCTGATGCTTATGTATTTTAAATGTAAATTGTTTTCTTTTAAGAGAAAATACTACATTGAATATTGATGCAAAGGTATTATATATTTGTGTTTTATTTTCCTGAGTTGTAATACTAATTTTCTACCTCTAATGAGAGTCCATGAAATATTCCACGTTTGCAACAAATCTGGCTTTTAAGGAACAGATTTATATAACTACAGCTGGGATTTTTCTGTGTCTATATGCAATTTATTTCTTTGTACTATTTTATGCAGGGTTATTATAATTTTATCTATAGATGTATTTAAGTATGTTTTGAGTAGTACAGGAAAAATAAAAATGTGAAATTGAACAAAGAATTCAAGATGAGTTATCTAGACAAATTATTTTCAAGTAATGAATTTTAGAGGATAAAATACTCCTGCAAAGGCTTCACTATATAGAGCATATATCTGAACAATTTCAAGTTGTGACCTAGTAATCAAGACTTTTCTATAAGACTGCCTACAATTATCATCATTAAGAAAGTGTGGATATTATATACAATAAACACTAAAGAGGCCTTCTTTGAAACTAATGGCCAATATAACTATAACTCAGAAGCATTTACATGAGCAGTTACATGAACAACTTTGTAATAAACAGGAAGCCCAATTGTATAAGAACAAGTTGACTTCAATCTCAGTTTGAAGTTAAAGCATAAACTGGGACCACAGTGAGCGTCTGTAATTACAGAGATGCGCTGCAGAATGGTATGTGTTCTTTTTCTGAAGCTATTTCTGAAGAAGATAAATGAGGCATGACGATGCACTTTTTCACTGGTCCTATTTTCAATACCTCCTTTGTAATGAACCTAAGGTGGCTTGGGAGAAGAAAGACCGACACATCTGGAAATGGAGATACCAGAATGGTCTCCCTATGCAATGATGAGCAAAAAAATAGTTGAATTCATCAGGGTAGTGTAACTATGAAAAACAGAAAGACCACGTATTAGTATTGCTGTAAAAGAGCTCGAAGTCCACAAAAATCAAGTAAAAATGTGATAACTCAAAAGAGAGTCTGAAAATAATGATGACAGAATGCATGTTTCTACCACCCTACCCTCTTAATTCCAATCCGTATCCTCAACTACTGCTCCTGAACGAAGCACTACTGAGTAGACTGCTAAGGTCTCAGACTGCTGGGTAGGGAGGCAGTGAAGGTATAATTAAGCATAGTACTCTCTAAATTCTAGCTTCTGAATAGCTGCTCCAATACTATTCAAAGCTGGTTTGAAGTGTGCTGGCAATGGGCTTCTTTCTCTCTGTAATGCATCACATTTATTCTCCTAATAAAAGCACAGGCCTAGAGACCTTTTTTTTTTTTTTTTTTAAGATTTTATTTATTTGCGAGAGAGAGAATGAGAGACAGAGAGCATGAGAGGGAGGAGGGTCAGAGGGAGAAGCAGACTCCCCGCCGAGCAGGGAGCCCGATGCGGGACTCGATCCAGGGACTCCAGGATCATGACCTGAGCCGAAGGCAGTCGCTTAACCAACTGAGCCACCCAGGCGCCCCTCTTTTTTTTTTTTTTTTAAAGATTTATTTATTTATTTGAGAGAGAGAGAATGAGAGAGAGCACATGAGAGGGAGGAGGGTCAGAGGGAGAAGCAGACTCCCTGACGAGCAGGGAGCCCGAAGCGGGACTCGATTCCGGGACTCCAGGATCATGACCTGAGCCAAAGGCAGTCGCTTAACCGACTGAGCCACCCAGGCGCCCCTCTTTTTTTTTTTTTTTAAAGATTTATTTATTTATTTGAGAGAGAGAATGAGATAGAGAGCATGAGAGGGGGAGGATCAGAGGGAGAAGCAGACTCCCCGCCGAGCAGGGAGTCCGATGCGGGACTCGATCCCAGGACTCCGGGATCATGATCTGAGCCAAAGGCAGTTGCTTAACCAACTGAGCCACCCAGGCGCCCCCCTAGAGACCTTTTGAGGCAGGCTCTGTCCTGATAAGCTTACCGCATGGGTGAGCCAAACGGAATGGATCTTTTCCACAGATAAGCAGTTCTGAAACACAGAAAACTAGGAAGTGGTTGAAGCAAAACAGTAACTCATGCTGAAGTTTCTCCACATGAAAGCTTGAGGACAGAAAAGCCGAACCCCCGCTCCCCAAACCCAAGCCCAAACTGGAATCCGAGGAAAAAAAGAAAAGAAAAGGTACACAGGAAGTTTACCTTCTCTTAGCCATATAGATGCCTCGGGACCAAGCGTGGAGAGTTCTGGGATGAGAAATCCATACTGACGACCCTGGAGAAGACTCCATCTGCACCAACCCAAGGGCTGCTGAGAAGGCTGGCACCCGAACCAGCGTCTGGTCCTCGGAGTTCCCTGGCCTTGGGAGAAATGTTGGAACGTTATACCAGTAGCCCACACTTTAATCGACATTTTTGGAGAAGAGCAAATTTTTCAACGAAAGAGACTATGAAGTGGAAAGCGTTTTTGATGGAACTTTAACAGAGGGCAGACACCGCCAGCTCGTACGTCACCACAGCCCGGCTGTGGGCATCGCGGCGCTTCCTGCCACTCGCGTCCCTCAAGTTATCGCGATAGCGTGATCTGAACCAGAAAGGCAAATAAAGCCCGGAGTGGATGTAGCTCAACGGAAGTCAGCGCCGGGAGACCGGAAGGGCGGTGAGGAAGCTCCGAACAGGTAGGTTCTTTTAGTGAATTTGAATTTGGATTTGAATTTGAATCTAGCTTTGAAACTGAATCTGGAGGAAACCGATGGCAACTGTTACAGAAACAAAAAGGGAGCTTGAGATTAATTATTTAACACAAAGGATTTCAGGTACTAAAATACATAATTCTCAAATTTACGAATTAGAAGAATTGAAGTAAGTGGTGATTGTTAAAATTAGGCTAGTGTCCCATAATCTTAAAATGGTCAAAATGCAAAGAAATTGACAAGGGACTTGTAATGCATATCCGGGAAGTCTGCCATGTGAAATATAGAAGTTAAAGAAAAAGAAAATGAAAGAGGTTGGGGAGAGGCTATAACTACTGAAATGACAGAGAATTACCCACACTTACGTACATATGTACACACACACACACCCTGGAATGCTTTGGCAGAACTTCTGTATTCTAAAACTTTTAAAAAAAAAATTAACAAGGGGGCGCCTGGGTGGCTCAGTCGTTAAGCGTCTGCCTTAGGCTCAGGTCATGATCCCAGGCTCCTGGGATCGAGCCCCGCATCGGGCTCCCTGCTCAGCGGGAAGCCTGCTTCTCCCTCTGCCCCTCACCCTGCTTGTGTTCCCTCTCTCGCTGTGTCTGTCAAATAAATAAATAAAATCTTAAAAAAAAAAAAAATTAACAAGCTTCCCGGTGCCTGGGTGGCTCAGTCTTGAAGCGTCTGCCTTCGGCTCAGGTCATGATCCCGGAATCCCGGATCGAGCCCCGCATTGGGTTCCCTGCTCTGCGGGAAGCCTGCTTCTCCCTCTTCCACTCCCCCTGCTTGTGTTCATTCTCTCACTGTGTCTCTCTCTCTCTCAAATAAATAAATAAAATCTTAAAAAAAAAAAAATTAACAAGCTTCCAGACAAAAAGAACAAATTATTTGCAACCACCCATTTGCCCCTTGGTTTCTCAAAGCAACAATCATAGTTCTGGTAGTCCAACTTGTAACGGGCACTTCTGTCTCCTACAGGAGCCAAACTTGTTAGACTTTTTTTCACCCAGGTCCAGAGCCTTGTAGGTCTATAACTTCAGCACTGCTCACTGTTTCTTTCTTTCTCTCTGATTTTTTTAAATTAATTAATTAATTAATTTATTTATTTATGAGAGAGAAGGAGAGAGAGCATAAGCTGGGGGGGAGAGGCAGAGGTTGAGAGAGAGAGAATCTCAAGCAGAAGCCATACTCAGGGCAGAGCCTGACTCAGTTCTTGATCTCAGGACTCTGAGATCATGACTAAGCTGAAATCAAGAGTGGGATGCGTAATCGACTGAGCCACCCAGGTGCCCCTCTTTTTTTGTTTTATCTATTTCTTTTTTTTTTTTTTTAAGATTTTTTTATTCATGAGAGAGAGAGAGAGGCAGAAGGAGAAGCAGGCTCCCCAGCTGAGCAGGGAGCCCGATGCGGGACTCGATCCCAGGACGCTGGGATCATGACCTGAGCCGAAGGCAGATGCTTAACCATCTGAGCCACCCAGGCACCCATTGTTTTATCTATTTCCTATCCACAGAAATATTTGTCATTTCTTTTGATACCAGCCATGATTATTTCATTTTTCTCTTTTATTATATTATTATTAATTTGGGGGCCTCTATTACATGAAAATTTCTCTATCTCTCTTTTACACATACACACACTTTATTTCCTTTGAAAGATTCCTAATCCCAATTCCATCCCACTATAAGCATCTGTTCTTTTGTTCATAATTTGCATTCTTCCCAAACCACTATCCATGACTGATTTACACAGTTGTGGGTTGTTGAATAATATATAGCCTATTTTGGTGTGTTTTATGCTCATAAACTGCATTATGCAATACATCTCATTATGTAATACATCTCAGGAAAATGTCATGATTCTGGTTTTTACTGAGCATTTTACTTTTGATATCTATGTTGATGTAGACAAATCTTGTTCTTTCTACTGTTAGATAATATTCCATCATAGGTGTATCACACATTTTCCTTAATTTCTTTTCCTTGACAGCATTCTTAAATCCTTGCCCTGCAAAGCATCCTGGAGATGGACATCCTCACACCTTTCTTTCTGTCAATGTAGGAGCATTTCTACAAGAAATAGACCTACTTTTCAGCTGGATGGGGAGAAATGTATCTTTACCCCTAGTGATGCTTGGATGTCTGGTTTTTGACTCAGCCAAGGTAAGGACAATGGAATAGTGATTGAAACTCCCCTGACAACATGCAAGGTTAGCTTCTTTACTGATAATTTGCCACTGGCCTAACCATTTGGATGAGACTGACTCGACTACTTACCAAGCTACTGAGAACTTTTGGAGGGAGCTCTCCCAAAGATAAAATTCCTCAGGCAGATCTTGGCAGCTCAAGTCAGAGAATCAGCCCACTCCCAGGGCACAGAGATTAGGCCCACAGGAGTTCATACTGTGGATATCTCTGAGATCTCTGATGCTTGCCTTCATTCGCTAAATAAAAGCCTCAAGTGGGTATATTTTTTGGGTCTGGTGAGTTAGTTCAAATATCTGAACTGCGAAAAACAATACAGATCTATCCCCAGGAATGGAATTGCTGATTCATAGAGTATATCTCTGTTTAATTTCAATAAATTGCAGAAAGTTCTCTTTATTAGCTTTACTAAACCAAAATATCCAGGAATTTCTACTTTTCCTCATTCCCTCCAACTGTGGACACCATCTGAAAATTTTAATTTCTATCAACATGATTGCTGTGTAAAGGTATGTTAGCATGACTTCAATGTGCACTTCTCTGATTCCTAAAGTGTTTATATATCTCTTTGAAAATGTATGGATTGGGGGCACCTGGGTGACTCAGTCGTTAAGCGTCTGCCTTCAGCTCAGGTCATGATCCCAGAGTCCTGGGATCAAGTCCCACATCGGGCTCCCTGCTCAGCGGGAAGCCTGCTTCTCCCTCTCCCACTCTGCGTGCTTGTGTTCCCTCTCTTGCTGTCTCTCTCTCTGTTGAAAAATAAATAAAATATTAAAAAAAAAATGTATGGACTGTTCAGGTTTTCCTTTTGTGAATTACATATTTTAATCCCTTGCCCATTTTTTATTGTGCTTTCTATTTTATTGAGGAATTCCTTAAATATCCTTGATATTAATCTTTATAGTTTGTTTACTTTCCTTTTAGCTGAATCTATTATACCTCTACTTCAATTCCCTCTTTTATAAAGTAGAAACAGTAATAGTACCTATAGCTCCTTTTTTTCTTCTCTAAAGATTAAATGAGAAATACATGTAAAACACTAGTACAGCATTTGACATTTGGCAAGAATTCAGTGCATACTAGTTATCTATTAAGCTTTTTCTTTTTTTTAAAGATTTTATTTATTTATTTGAGAGAGAGAATGAGATAGAGAGAGCATGAGAGGGGGGAGGGTCACAGGGAGAAGCAGACTCCCCGCAGAGCAGGGAGCCCAATGCAGGACTTGATCCTGGGACTCCGGGATCATGACCTGAGCCAAAGGCAGTCGCTTAACCAACTGAGCCACCCAGGAGCCCCTCTATCAAGCTTTTTCAAATTAAGCTAATACTTTTGTTGTTCTAGATACACATATAAACTTAGATTTGAATTTAATTTTAATCTATACTTAAATTGAATGATTTCTTCTGTAGTATATTTAATCCAAGACCAAAGTCTCAAGCTAGGCACAGGAAGTTTAGAATGTACACTATAGGGGTGCCTGGGTGGCTCAGTCGGTTAAGCGTCTGCCTTCGGTTCAGGTCATGATCCCAGGGTCCTGGGATCGAGCCCCACATCAGGCTCCCCGCTCGGCGGGGAGTCTGCTTCTCCCTCTGCCTGCTGCTCTGCTTACTTGTGCTCTCTCTCTATCTCTCTGTCAAATAAATAAATAAAATGTTTAGAATGTACACTATAGTGACAGATGTAGTAGATGCAGCTGGGAAATCAGAAGCCATTACTCTGCACTTGAACTCACATTAGTCTGGCACTCCAGCCTGTGTGAGAAGCAGACTCTGCCCTTAAAGCTGACCTGCCTTTCTGCAGCAAGCACCTCACCTGCTGATGATGGAGGGGCCCACACTCTCTTCATTTGGGCACAGTTTTACCCACTGAATCTATATATTTGTATTTTCAAAACTGCAACACTTTCATCACCATGACTCTTGCCCCTAGTGTGTGATTTATCATCCAACATGTCAAAATATTTTGAAGAAGGTATCATGAAATGCAAAGTCTAAGTTGTATTTGATTTCTTTATGAAGAAGAATAAACCTAGAAGGGAAAGAATACAATACACGAGAATGTCTTGATAGGAAATAGAATCATTCATAAAGTCATGGGCAAAATATGTTTTCTAAAATTTGTATTATAGATATCGGCAAACAGAGATAGATATGGAAAACAATAGGTCAATTGGAATGCTCTTATATGAGTGTAAAGTTTTCTCTTAGTAGAAATTTTTCCTTTTAGTTACTAAACAAATCCTCTAAACATTGAAAATATTTCAGAAGTTCTCAGGAAATGATCATTAAAGTAAACTGCTAGTGTTTGATAAATTCCCACCCTCGTGTCCTTTCTTGGCTTTTTCAATCAATACCTCTGTTCTTGGCCAGATTCCTTACCAGCAAGGAGTTCTGGGGAGCATTTTCTACTCACTTCTCTAAATCAGATCAGTATAAGAAGCATGCTGTCCTAAATTGCGTATGTTCAGCCTAGATTGATAAAAATACTTCATCCTGGGGCGCCTGGGTGCCTCAGTCGTTAAGCGTCTGCCTTCGGCTCAGGTCATGATCCCAGGGTCCTGGGATCCAGCCCCGCATCGGGCTCCCTGCTCTGCGGGAAGCCTGCTTCTCCCTCTCCCACTCCCTCTGCTTGTGTTCCCTCTCTCTGTGTGTCTCTCTCTGTCAAATAAATAAATAAAATCTTTAAAAAAAAAATACTTCATCCTTTCAAATTTTTCCTAGAGTACTCTGTTAAGTGGATGAAAGATCACATATAGGCACAGAGGAAAACAGTACAATGTGAATTCCATTAGCAGAGACAGCCACAGGCGAGGGAGAAAGGGTGTGGCTTCATGTGTGTATAGACTCTCCTCTGGAACCTTCTTTGACTTTCCTAAGCAAAATCATCATTACCTCTTCCTAATTCCACAGGATGTGCTTTCAGAATACTTTGAATCATTTAATTATAATCATGTTCTCTGGAAATCTAATAGATCACTTGTAAATATGAAATAACTACTTTTCTTGAAAGCTTTCAGACCAGCTATTTACTTTAATGACATTAATCAGTAAATTTCAATTAATCAAGTAAATTACAAAGTATTATAGACTTAGGGATTGTGCATATGTTCAAGCTTTCCAAACTGAGCTGACCCTCTTAATGGAATTCAGTGAGCAATATAGGTGTACTTTTATGGCATTTGGATTATTAAGAAGCTCTTACTAGATAACACACTGTTCTGTAAACCATATGCTGGTATGTTCAAGTCTCACAAATGTAATAGGGAGTATGCCTTTTATTGTATTATGCTGTAATTATATCATAATCAAGATGTAGAATGCAAGAAGCAGTAGTAATAGATGCACTATTTATATCTCATAAGTCATGAGTGAAGAAATATATTTTTATAAGTAACAAAAGGAAAGGCTGTGAGACAGGAAGAGAAGAGGTAAAGGACAATGAGGATAGAGATTAAACTGAGATTAGCACTGTAAAAGAAATGCTAGGAACAAGAGCAGTCAATGTAGAGGCTGTCAGCAGAGAAGGCAGTTTGGATTTTTCTAATTGGCAAATCATTAGAGCTTTGCCCAAGACGAGGCTCAGTAATTGAGTAGAAGTGGAAATGAGACTTAAGGATAGCTTGCAATTAATGAGACACATTAATGGCATTACTAGGGGACCTGGGTGGCTCAGTCGGTTAAGTGCTGGACTCTTGATTTGGGCTCAGGTCATGATCCCAGGGTCCTGGGATCGAGTCCCACATCGGGCTCCCGGCTCAGCGGGGAGCCTGCTTCTCCCCCTGACCCTCTCCTCTCTCATGCTGTTTCTCTCTCGCTCGCTCTCTAAAAAATAAATAAATAAAATCTTTATAAAAAAAAATTAAAAAAAAATAGTCAAATTCATAAGAGAAAGTAGAACGGTGATGGTCAGGTGTTTGGGGAAGTCGGAAAGGGGTGTTGTTAAATTAGTATATAGTTTAAAGATTATAAGATGAAAAAGTTTTAAGAGAATGGTTCAACAACAATGTGAATATACTTAACATTACTGAACTGTACACTTAAAATAGGTTAAGATAGTAAATTTTATGTTATGTGTTTTTATCCCACACAAACACAAAAAATGAAAAAAAGATATAAGGACAGGCAAAAACTGAGAGACGAGGCAGTTAAATTCACTGCATAATCTTGGATTTGATGCTACACTTCAAGAGGCAGTTATAAGAGACATTATTATGCCCAACTGGCAAAAAAAATTGAATAAGGTTTGTTTATTAGATAATAGTATTAATGTTGAATTTCCAGATATTGATAACTATAGTGAGGTTATGTAGATGAATATCCTTGTTCTTTTAAGTCACATTTAGGAAGTTTTAGGGATAAAGGGATATGATATTTCAATTTAGTCTTAAATGGTTCAAGAAAAGACACACACATATGAGTATTGGGAGTGTGTGGGTATGTTTATGAGAGAGAAAAAAAACAAATGTGTCACAATGTGAAATTGGTGAAACTTGGTAAAGGATATACAAAATTCTTTGTAGTATTTTGCAACTTATCTATAGGAATGAAATTATTTCAAAATAAAAATGAAAAATATTAAATCAATAAAATATGGTAAATTGATAAATCTTCAATCTAGCTACATACAGTATCAAATAACCCACTAGCAAGCCTGTATATATGGGTGTGAAAACTCTTTGTACCTAGCTCTGATTCTTATAATCTGCTTCTTATTTAAATACAGAAAAAAAATGAATTTGTTAATTGCAGTTCTTCATGTAAACAATCAGACATTTGGGCAAACTGACATGCAAACACATATTAAGAGAGAACTATTAAAATTCCCTCGCTGGGACACATGTAGATTGCCTTAAATACCTCTGTGAATTTAACAATGAAGGAGAAATTCTGATGTAGGAAAAAGTGATCGGGTTACAAGAATTTTAGTTTCTAAATTAATTTTAATCACCAACTGGCAAA